CTGGAGGTAGATTGGTATTTGGCTTCCCGTGCTGGAATCTGCAGGGAATTACATGTGGGACTTAAGTTGTTCGAAAGCCCATACTGTGCAAACACAAATGTGGCGCACCAAAATAACCTGGGTTAAAAATTTTTAGGCGTGTTAAATTAACGAGGATCAAACGCCATGGCATGTACGAATGCCCTATGGGTTTTACAGAAGTACTACCATTTTCCTGCAGGGTTAGTAAACCAGTCTGTGACTAGTTAGAGAGATTTCTTTTCTATAATGCAGCACTCTATAGGCTGCTTCATAAGCCCTATAGCAAGGAGCCCAAGATTCAGTCCTCTACTAAGACCTATAAGTTTTCACAGGAATTTCTCATCAAGCCCTGTGACATTTTGGACCACTCCATTGGTTTCATCCTATTTAATGCTGTAAGGATTTGTCTTGGTGTTTCTTCTTTTACCTGTTTCCCCACACACATACCTGGACCATTCTCACAGGAACCCAGCCGCACTTTGCACCAGCAGCAGCACAATTAAAGCCCAGAGGGGCCAGGCCATAACAGGATCCCTGAGGTGGGGCTCCTCTCTGTTCAGGGCCTTTGAGATCTGGTCATAACTCGTGCATCAGGAATGTGAAGATTTAGCTCATGTTGCAGTACAGGGGAAAGATCCCAGAAGCTAAGCAGGGGTTCATCAGCTTTTTGAATGAGAGAAAGGTGGGTTAGGAGCAGAGAGCCAAAGGGTCTCACAAGGGGCTCTGAATATCACCCTTCCCCAGCTGTTTTCATGAGCAGACCCCTGCCCCTCCATTACACCCAGTACTGCAGAGTAGACATCATTGAAAAAAAAAAAACCCCAAAAACCCCAAACACAGAGTGAGCCAGGAACTCCCATCCTGAGCTTCATCTCAGAAGACTGCAACGTGAGAAAGCTCTGAAGCGGTGTGGTGCAGGCCCAGTTTGCCCTGATCTTGCCTCTCCGTGTCAGGCCCCACTGTGAATTCCAGACAGATGTTGATGCCGCAGGTCAGCAGCATCACACTCACTCAAAAGGAAATCCTTGAGCATATTAGAAAAAGCCACAAGCCAGCCTCTGGGGCTGCTGTTGTTGCCAGAATCCCAGCCTGACAAGCCCCAGGGAAATGGATCAAAGCTTTTAAGCACCGCAAATGCTGACAGGCAACTCCTGCAGCCGGCTGCGCAGAGCTCTTCCTCCCGGCTGCACATGCTGTGGTGTGAAGCCAGGGCAGCAACCCACCAGCTTGCCGGGACAGAAACCCATGGGGAGGACAAGGCATTTGAATGTCATCGGGAGGCACACTTGCCAGTGACAGCCCTATCTCCCCACCTCCAGCAGACCCTAGACCTTGCTGGAGTTGCCTCAAGGAAGAACTCAAGTGCCTGGTCTGCCCTGTGCTGTCACCTGGGGACATGAACACTCAGTTACCCTGAAGTAATAAATACCCTCTTTTGGTGGTAAAGTTCTCACTGCAAATTCATCCCTGAAAGAGTGACGTCCCTATAGAACGGGCCTTATGGGCTATTTGGATGGTTCAGCCCCTCCCATTACAGTCTCGTGCATAAATCATATTGCAATTAGTTATTTTTTCCCTGATTTTCCTTTGGAAGTAGCTTTGTCTCCAAGGGTCTGTCACATCCAGTTTGTTCCCTTCAGAGCACGTGGCACAACACAGGGTGTGCTGAGCAGGTGCTGAGCAGGGCCTAGTTGCCATGATGTGCAGGCAATGAAGGCGATGACCTGGGATAAGTGAGACCCTGGTCCCATTCTCTGCTCCATGACAGCCTGCTGGCGGGGTATCAGGTGAGTCACTTATGACCAAATCTTGAAGGTATTTGGGCACCTTGGTACCCACTGATTTCAAATGGGACTTTAGGCACTTACACAGAATGACAGAACCAGAGGAAATGAGGGTTGGAGGGGACCTCAGGAGGTCACATCTAGTCCAACCCCCTGCTCAAAGCAGGACCAGCCCCAACTACATCATCCCAGCCAAGGCTTTGTCCCCTGGCTTAAAGACCTCCAAGGATGCAGATCCCACCACCTCTCCGAGTAACCTGCTCCAGTGCTTCACCACTCCCCTAGTAAAAAAGTTTTTCCTAATATCTAATCTAAACTTCCCTTGTTGCAACTGGAGCCCATTGCTCCTTGTCCTGTCATCTGCCCCCACC